AGGGTGGATGTTCCTCTCAGTCTCTCTGAGGAAACTCTGGCTGAAGATGTATTTAAGTGAAACATGTAGAATGATGTGATTTTTATGGAATATCAGGATTTTGAGCTTCGATTTGGTTCATTTTCATTTATTTTAATGAAAACTTTGATGATGTGTTCATGGACCGTCTGAAAATCGGAAATCCGAACATTCTTTCTGTTTTTACAGTTTCTGGCTGACTAATGGTGTCATTTTGGTAACTTTTAGAAAGATAGGATGCTTTCCAGGTTTCAGACCAACAATTTTAAACTCTGCAGTAAAAAGTTGTAGAAGTGAAGCTGCTGCTGAAGAAGCTGCGTTCAGTTTATTGTCTCACCTGTTCTGAAGCTTTAACAGTTCTGGATCTCTTCCCGAAGATACAGTTCAGGTCCGTTTCACTGCGAGACGACAGATCCTTCCCTGAAACAACATTTAAAACTCCGTCACTGTAGTTCATAGAATCACAGAGAATCAGACAAATGCAAAGAAATCAGCAGTAAAAGGTTTTTAAAGACGCGTTTTCCACACGAGTCAAAGAATTTTACAGTTTTATTCAAGTAATGTTTGGGTTTGTGAGCATGGCTGTGTTTGTGTGTCGGAGTGTGTTTGTGGTTTCTCGCTGCAGGGACACAACAGTGAAGTAAAATAAACGCAGAGTCCTGCCGGGCCTCGGGCCTCCTGAGCAGAGCGACCCGCCTGGGCCGGTGCTGTTCGTACAGCTGCATCCTCTTCCTTCAGCGCCGCTCTGATAACGCTGCCTTATTTATTGCTTTTAAAGTCTATCTGCCGACTCCTGGCTTTCAAAGTCCTGCACCAGCCGGTCTGAGGAGCAGAACCAAGAAAGCGTGCAGAAAACTAAAATAAATGTGAGTGGACCAGGAAGAACCCGTCAGAGCTTCAGGCTTGCAGGTGAAAGTGCAAATAACAAGGCAGCGATAAAAAGCAGCGGTTCCCACAGAGGCTCTCTGGAGGCTGAGCCATGGTTCTGCTGCTCCGTTTCTAACATCTCAGCATCAGAACCAGTCGAACCCGATTTACTGAAGCTTCACCTGACAAACATCCGACACACAACTGAAAAGTCAAAGAGAGTCCAGTAAGAGAAAAGATAATGATGAATGCACACAGAGAGCAGCAGCCTGAAACAACGACAGAGAGACAAACTCCAGACATCAGATATGAACTCATGCAAAGTCACCACAAAGAGACAAAATCATGACCAAAAAACACAAAACCGACACGAAAAGGTGCAAAATTGACGCAATATCAGCACAGAAAGGGCCAAAGAAACACGGAAAGACAAAAGTCAGAGCGAAGGAAACAAAACGAGCACTGAGAGGCAGAAAACACTAAACCAGCAGCTGATTTATTCTCATGAAGCTTCCACAGATTTAATCTGGTTCTGTTGGTGCATATTCATTCAGGTGGAGTCACTCTGAGGAACATTTAGAACATCTACTGAGGATTTATTTAAAGCGTCTGTAGGATTCAGCCCAACGTGTTCTCTGGAACAATGCAGCTCTTTACGTTCATCATTTCCTGTAATATAACGATATAAAGGTGGGAACCTGCAGCAGCAGAGCTCTGGAGCCGCCAGACGGCTGATGGATGGAGGCAGCAATTAAAACTGGGTTACTGGTTTGTACTGTGGACCTGAGCGCTGGAGATTCTGGTGCCTTCCTCCACAAACAAAGACCATCAATCCTGAGCGCTGGCAGAACCAGCAGAATATCAATAAAGAGGAGCAGACTGAGGAGGAGGAGGAGGAGGCTGGGAGGGAGAGGCACGCTGAGGGAACGCTGAAGGAACGTTGAAGGAACGCTGAAGGAACGCTGAGGGTATGCTGAAGGAGCGCTAAAGGAACGCTGAGGGTATGCTGAAGGAACGCTGAAGGAACGCTGAAGGTATGCTGAAGGAACGCTGAGGGTA